CCCCCGTCCATCCGCCTGTCCATCCGCCTCTTCCCCCGTCCGTCCCGCATTTTTCAATTTTCCTGTAATTTATATTTTCGGCCGTTTCGTTTCGGCCGTTTTGTTTCGGTCGTTTCGTTTCGGTTGTTTCGTTTCGGTCGTTTCGTTTCGGTTGTTTCGGTGGTTTCGGCCGTTTCGTTTCGGTCGTGTCGTTTCGACTTTTAGTACATGCCTTTGTAAACTGGTTTGTGAATCTCATTATGAACTTTTGAACTTAGCAACAAAGTTTGGAACATTTGTGGTCAAAGTTTTGTGAAATCGACTGTAATAACACTGGTGAAAAATTCTCATGTAAAACTTCAATAATCCGTTCATGCAGTTGGGAAATTTTGTAGTGCATCTGGGCCAGGGCGCTTATATAATATTATATAAGCGCCCTGGCATCTGGGCGATAGATCCCCAGCACACTTTCCAGCTGCACTTGCCCATGAACAATGGTAATACTTGGGCGTGAGGTTGCCCACACAAAATTTGACAACGCCTACACGTTTTGCAAAATTCCAATTATTTGGGGACGGTGTTTACTTTTATCTGCAAATATTCACTCTCTGATGCAAATGAGGCCATCAAGTTAGGCACCCACCCATTACTATCTAGGCTAAAATCCTGACTATGCATAAAATTTCTCAGCACTACTGACCTCAGTAACTGCATTTTTTATCCTGGGAGAACGCAAAACATGCTGAATAATTTGTGCTCCATCCAAACCAGTCGTCGACTTATGATCTTCATGCACGGGAGAGATCGGTGGGCCAAACTCGTGCAAACTAAACAAAATATCACTTCCACACTGATTAACACTTTGAAAGGCATCCATTACACTTTAAAATTGATTTTAAGTGCCGAAAATATAAGGTATATTTAGCCGAAACATTATATTGACATATTGTGCAATGTTTCTGAGCGAGTGACCTTTAATTTCCACGTGGAATTGCCTGCAACCAGGCAAGAAAGAAAATTTTGCTCAAAGAAAACGGACTTTTTGAGCAAGAGTTTTAAAATAAACACATCTCAAACTGTGTGAAGTCAATTTACTACATATAAAATACAATCTATAAAAATTAAACTTTGCATAAAAAATAACAATTTTATTTTATAAAGTCCAAAATAGTCCTCATTTTTTCCCTATTCTTGAATTCATGTCAATGTGGAAACACTGATTATGCTTCTTCGTTCATTCTGTCCCCCCGGATTGACAGCTTCGACTCATGTTTGATAATATACAAATCCAAAATTCCATTGAAATTCAACATAATAAACCTTTCTACTTGTATGACTTATCAACATTAAAAACGTTCACCTTAAATGGTTAAGAAGTTCAGGAAAATTAAAACATAAGTTATCACAGTGTATATATAAAGTTGTAAATCTTGTAACTCCCCCCCCCCCCTGAAATAGCAAATCAAATATGGTTGACAATGCAGTTGTTTTTGATGGAATAAGTAAAGCTGGAGCCTTAACAAGTTGTTTTATTTTAGCTATATCATACATTCTAGTATTTTATATCAAGAAATCACCATATCACCGGTATGTGAGTAAAAAATGGTTACAGAAAACTAGAAAAATCCTCAGACAAGTGACAGTCTTAATAGTGCCTTCTCAAATCAGCTCTAGAGGACAGACGGTGAGGGGCAAACCCTGGCTTTTTAGGGACGCAGCCATTGCTTGCCCAAGGCACGTGATAGAGACTTGCAGACGTCTGACTCCTTGTCCATGTGGCCATGCCTTTGATGTCATTGTAACTGGCCACCATGTCACTGCAGAATAGAGACACATAGAAGGTTGACTCAGCCACAAAAGCATAACTGCCACCACACCATGTTTTCGTCATCAAATGCTAATGCCATTGTCCTAGCCAGTGCACTTATGAGAAACATCCCCCCCCCTGGATGTCTGCCAGTTTGGAATATTATCAGGGGGCGAATGCCTCTAACAAGGGCACTGGCTAGACCATGGTGTCATCATTTTGATGACGAATTATGGTTACACCAAAGTCATAGGAAAAACCAAGTCTGGCTTCTGTACAGTCTGTATTAGTCTCTATTCTGTGATCATATCCTAGCCAATGCAGTAAGTAGAGGCTGTCACCCCCCTGAAAACATTAAAAATAGCTGGCTTGGCATTGACATTTCAGGGGTTGAACACCTCTTGTAAGTGCACTTGCTAGGCCACATGGCAACATTTCATTACTTTCATATTGTAGCATTTATTTTGCTTTTATAGTGACCATCCTGAAACAATCAAGTTGAGATGCATCCGAGCTGTAGGCTTTTGCATAGTAGCCCCATTCTTTATTCAACTGTTATCCCAAACATCACAAGAAGTAATATTTTCTTTTGCAATATAAATTATAAAACAATCTATTATGTGTTCAAATAATAATCAGCTGTCGATCCCCACCCAATAATTATTATTTATAAATATTGTAATTTAATTGTTTATTGTAGTGATTGACCAATAATCGGTATTGGTACCAGCATCGGGCCGAATTTTGCCTTCTCAGTAGACAATCAGTAGAATGATCTATAATTCTGATTGTTGAGAAAATGTGACCGTAAAAATTATATGCATTGCATCATTGATATATGTTGCATTTTAATGCAATATGTTAAATTAATGTGTGAAGCATAGAATAAAGATCCATATAGAAGGGCCACTTACGTCGGAAGCTTTGAAGTTTCTGTCCTCGCGCATGTCGCATTACGCATGTTGGCCGCCATTTTCCTAGCCAGTCAATGACATTTTCTGGCCAATAAACACGCTGTACTGGCTGGCTGCTCCGCCTTCTGGCCAGTAAACTGCATATTTTTGCATAAAAAAACGCGGACACGTTGCACCGCTGAGTGGCCCTTCTGTTACTGATCTTTATTCTGTGGTGTGAAGCATGCCATTTATTAAACGGTTTTAACAATCTTTGGTTGCAGTAAAATGCTACGTTGGAAATTATCGTTAAAAAATTGACATGAATTATGTCACCTTTACTTGGTCGACTGATATTATAACGTCATAAAATCGGTATTGGCATCTGGCAGATTGTGGCATGAATAATCGATAATCGGTCAATCACTAGTTTATTGAGTATTGAGAGTGCCTGGCATAATTAAATTAACCAATGACTAATTCTGTATAGGGTGTGTCTGTCTGCCATTGGCTTGGGATTCATCTTGACAATGTAGTACTTGCAGCTGTACTTCCTCTTCTCTTGACCATGGTAGCTTATGTATTTTGTAATAAACTAATTTCTCAGTTTGTACACAAAAATCATTTAGTCATTGCAGTTGCTGTAGTCCCTTTGTACATGTTCCTAGACACTTTTTACTGGTCCGTTAACCATGATGTTTTTGGCAAGAGAATTACCATTCATGTCAGGTTGGGCAGCATAACAATTAAAATCACTTTATTAATAACTGTTATTAAAATAAACCAATTTTGTTATAGCCATATCTTGTTTATCTATTGTTACTTAAGTGGAGAAAACCTGTAGTGTTTGATAGGGTCATTGACAAACTGGAAACAGTTTTCACAGATAAACATGCATGCAAATGAGGAGAAATTATAATTGAAAAACTGCATATTACAGAAATATAACCCCAGTTGCAGACTTAGGTGAATGGCAGCGAGATGGTAAGGGCTGCCGAGAGGTTGTGTGGGAAAAACTTTCCCGGGGGAGGAGAGCGGTGTGCTGCTTTGGGGCCCTTTTTGCGCTGGGGGCCCTCTGCCCCCTCTCGGCAGGCCTGAATGGTACAGTACACTGACAAGTACCATAATTATCAGCTGTTACAGTTAACACAAGACGTGATTTTGTTGTCAAATTATTTCAATAGTAAAAGTTTACTGTCTTGAATGTAGGATTTTCTCTTTCTATGAACATGATCATCGTAAGAAATTTTATTGTTGTAAGTGCTTATATTTGATCTTCCAACTGTCTCAATTTGTGTTCATTTGAACCTATTTGCAGTGTAAGAGGCATCTCCTGTTTTCTGTTTAGGCTCCATTGACAGAGGAATTAATATACAGAGCTTGTATGATTCCATTACTCGTGCCATCGATGGGTTTAGTTGGGGCAGTTTTTATATGCCCTCTTTTGTTTGGAGTAGGTCAGTAACAAAAGAATCTATTTCATATTTCTCAAATTCACAATTCATGAACAAAACACGAAGCGTTTTCTCTTTAGCTCATTTTCACCATGCTATTGAACGACTACAGGCCAGGGAAAACGTACTGAATGTTTGTTTAGGAACACGTAAGTCAAAGACAATTGTTTAATTGTTAATTAGTCGCTTCCCACTAATTAGCCCTATTCACATTAGAGACGAACAAGTCGTCTAGACAAACAAATCGTCTCTCAAAAATCGTCTTCACAGACGGACAAGTAGTCGAACAAATTCAGACGACTTGTTCGTCTAAAATTTTGTCCGACACGTTTTCACATTTGGGGCCGGTTGTATAAAAAAGTGATTAAAGTTAATCATAGTTAAGTGGAAATGTCATCCAATAAAAAGCGCGTATTTGAGAGTTAATCACTATTTAACTACAAAATAGTGATTAAAAAAGTGATTAAGAGTTTTATACAACCGGCCCCTGATGATTTGTCCGACTAAAAGACGACGTTGAGACGATTTGTTAGTCTAGACGACTTGTCTGTCTTCTAATGTGAAAACGGCTATTGTATGTTTCTCTATGTACTTTAGTGTTTCAGTTCAGCTACACAACTCTATTTGGCATCTACTCAGCTTTCATATTTATCAGAACTGGTAAGTTTTCCTTGAACTAGTTAAAAACATGTTTTAAATTTTAACTCCGTGTTTATAGCTTTTGGGAGTGATGGATTTAAATTCACTGTTTCTATTCAATTGTATAGGACATTTCATTGGCCCATTCATATGTCATAGTTTTTGCAACTATATGGGAATGCCAGAATTTGATCAAATCTCTTACACGAAATATCCGAAAGGTATTAAGAAGAATTTGTTCCAAACTGACTTTAACCGACTTTTCACTAATTTTTCCTTTGTCGGCATCGCCTATCACGTCAGCCAAAAGGATGCTGACAAAAGAAAAACTAGTGAGTTCCGAATATATCGGGAGCAAGAACTCAAGTGGAAAGTGAAGTCAAAGATGGAGCTATAGTAGTATAGACCTTTTTTAAAAGTCTGCCTTGTGACGTAGTGTGCGGATAAAGGAAAACCCCGCACAGCCATTTGGCTTGCCTGATTGGCCAAATGATCGTATTTATAAGGTCTTTTGGACGTCAGTTTCAATCCCTTTGTAGTGCCGAAATTTCGTTTTCGCTTTCTGAATTCACACGAGAACATGAAACTGAACAAATTCGGGTACATCCAACAGGAAGGATGTGCGTATACACTTCCTGAATCCGTCGTGTGAAGGAGGCTCATACGTGTGCTTTAATCTTTTTTAGTTGTCGCTGTCATGTTTGTCATTGGACTGCTATCCTTTATACTTCTTCTCATGCCATTAACGGAACCTACTTTATATAATAGTGTCTACTTCAGATGAAAATAGCAGATACTCATTATATGACACTGAGTGATCATGCAAGTGAATATTGATTTTCTATACATTTAGAGTCACTTTAAAGACTACGTGTTTAATCCGCTGCGATGAGCTAAAATTCAAGAACAATGTAGCACATTTTAACACTTAGGCCCATTCACACTTGCAATTTTAGCTGCGAATGAGTTAGGCCAAAAAAAAAAATATGTGGGTTTCCGGTTTCTTTTTATAAAAACTTAGGTAGGGTAGGTCGGTTTTAACTTTTTTTTTAACTTTTTTTTTAATTTTCCGAACAAGCGGACGCCATTTTGTTTAGTCAGTGCTTCCACATCCAAAGATAAATTTCCCTAATATTGCCTCAAATTTCAATTTTCTGCAAACTTTTTCCTCTAAGTGGAAACACTTACAAGCATGATCCAATAAAAAAGTTTAGGGTCGGGATTTCGACGTCCAAAAGCTAGGTAGGGTCGGGAAACCGGAAACCCACATATTTTTTTTTTGGCCTTAATATGAATGTTCTGAGTATATGTACCCTCATATGAACATCCATAACTCATCCACTCGTTCATAATATCCATCAGAAGAAAGTCCATGGGCGTATTTACTGGGGGGTTGGGGGGGGGGGGGTTAAACCCCTCTTAGAATCACTCTAACCCCTCTTATAAAGTGTTCAACCCCACCAAAATGTCGCTTCATCCCTCCTATTTTGTGTGAAAGTCTTTAACCCTAACGCCTAATCACTGTTGAAGCTCGCTCAGTGGTGCCGCTTGCATCCCACTAGAAATTTTTCCACTTTTAAAAATATGAAAATCCGCCCTTGGGAAAGTCGCACCTAAATCGCAGCAAAAAATGCAAGTGCAATAAACGGGCCTGTAGAGTACTAGCGTTATACGCGCATGTATAATAAGTTAAGTTAAAATATATTAAGAATGATCAACAATAAATAAATTAATCGTTTTGCTATAAGATTCACTAAACTTGTATCCTATTTTGATGTAACTTACAGTTTGGTTTTTGTATTCTGAAGACTTTCAAATTATGCACATTTCAATGTTTATATGTTTCAACTGCATGCTACTGTTTTTAAAGGGAAATGGCAATATATTTTTTTATTTTCTCATTTGAAAGAACTTTTAAGACTATATATAATACTCTTTTACTGTTTTTTCATATCTTGCTTACTTCTACAAATATTTTGATTGAAAGAAATGAAATGTCCGCCATCTTCAATTTTTGTAGATATGCATGTCACGTCACAACAGGAGTCACGCAATATTTTTATCTAGACAAACACTAAACATTTTGCACTCAAAACTATACTCTGTCTGCCCTTCGAAATATCAAGATCGCTAAAAACCTTTAAAACATCTACCAAACAATATTTGGTCAGCAACGAATACTAGTTTTATGTGGTTAATCCCTGTTGTGACGTCACCAAAACTACCGTTAATGAGATCAAAAATTTATCCAAGATGGCGGACATCTCATTACTTCAAGTGAAAACAATTCAAGAACTAAGCAAGATATGAAAAATCGGTAAAAGAAGTTAATTTATACTGTCTTTCAATAGTTCTTTCAAATGAGAACATAAAAATTTCATCCCTTTAAACCTTTTATACACTTACGATCAACTGTAGAAATCAAAGTCATCATCATCATTGTTATCATTACCACCATGACTGATCTGTAAATCAACTTCTGATTCACTGTCAGAATTGTTCCAGAAACCTAGGAAAGAAACATTTGTAAGCTATGGACTGTTGTCCACCAATTCACCTTTTCATATAACCGTCATGCCTAGTTACCATTGTTCTGATAATGTAAGCATAGAATAGAACAAAGGTAACCAAGTATTTGAATTATACATGTGAGTGAACTGGGAGGCAACAGAAATAAATACGCATTAGATGATTAGCAATTTACCTGCTTGAATGCGAGCCTTTGTGTCAGATTCTTGCAACTTCTTCCCTGTTTCCACTTTTTCATCTTTATTTTCATCCACAGGCAACACTTCCTTTTCCCCTTTTCCTACTTCCTGCTTGTCTTCCACTTTCCCAGACACAGTGGGCACATAATCCCCCGTGTCAGGGGACAATGGTGGTGACAGTGTCCCCTCACTTGACTTCCACGATGGAGCGAGTACCCCCACACCCTCGTTGCCAAAACTATTCCCAAAGTCGTCCTTCTCGCTGCTACTGAATAAGGACAGTGTTGGTTTTGATTTCGACGGCTTTGCTGGGAGGTTTATTTGAGAAGTTGTCCCAGAGTCTTGAAGGGTTTGTGGCATGTTGTGTGTACTTTGAGCTGTCGTGTTTGCTTCGGACATTGTACCTAGAGAATAAGGAAAAGCGTTACTGCGACCAAGTTAGCTTTATTTATACTTAGTCTACCAGTAGATAGCTCTATCAGTTCTATAATTGCTCTTCTTAGACGTCCTGTATAATTAGTTTAAACTTGTCGACAAAACGCGAAAATTTTATATGGATAGTCTTTGAAATTGATGAAATCTTATTCAAAAACCTCCTCAATTAGTAAATACATCGGTTATAAACCTCGAACTTGGGATATAAGTTATAAACCTCGAACTCGGGCCCTGTGCCCCCTCGGGTAAATATATGACTTATATCCCGCGTTCTCGGTTTAGAACTCTTACTTATATTCCGATAGTAGTATTACCTTCAAGAAAATCTGCCTCTAAGTCGTCTCCTTCGTCGCTAACGTCGACTGTGCTCAGCATTTTCTGATAAGCAGCACTTTGTGTCAGTGGAATACTTTTAATACTTTTTTCATCTTCGAAATCTTCACTATATGACATACTTTCTTTTGTTTTACTCTTACTCCTCTTGCTATACAACAAAAGATAGGAACTAAATTACTATTTAAAGTACTAGGATCGTACAAACGTAAAAGTACAGTGATAAGATCGACCATGGGTAAATACTGCCTTGTTGAACACTACGTATGTTGGGTAATGTTGGCTGATGTTGGATCGGGTTTAATTTTGTTTAAAATTCATTTCCATCCAACATTGTTGAACACGATTAGGCGTGATCATTCAACACTTTCCAACACTGGTGGTCTAACAGTGGACTCTATAGCCAAGTAATATATCATATGATGATATATGGTTGGCGGAGACAACCAAAGATGTTTTAACATGTACTGATACCTTGTGCTCTTTTCCTGTACAGGGACGGATTCTGAACTGGATTCCACTGAAGAGAATGAGACCTCTTCTAAAACACCACTTTTGGATTTTTCATCTTCACTCACGATTTCGCCATCACTTTCCTTATCCACACTTTCTCCTGGTTTTCCTTTGTTCCCCTCCACACTTAGGGCTGCTTCTCTCGACTCTGACCTGCTGTCTTCTTCCAAATCTTTCTCCGTATTTATTACACTTTTTGTTTTGGTCAGTTCCTGGTGTTCATTTAGATTTCCTCCACCGTTAAAAGAATCACCTTTCGCTTCTCCCGTATTTTTAGCATCATGCTTCTCATCCTGAATCGAACCAACTTTTAGTCCTTCTATATTTGCAGCATCTGCCTTTACTTTACTTTCACTAACTTTCGTGTCAGTCATTCTCTTACTGCTAGTATTATCACTATCAGTCTTTGCTAGCTCTTCTGGGATAGACTCATCACTAGAGTGGCTCATACCACCCTCATGGCTAAAATTCTTGTCATCATCATTATTTTGTTGAAGAACATCCTCTTTACTACTATCTGTCCCTCGAGCTCTGTCAAGTATTTCACTCAGTTCTTTCGACCCTTTTTCCGTCGGAGGAACACTTTCTCTTGCTTCTTTATGTTGGCTCATGCTTTCATTTGGATGGCCACTCTTCTCTCTATCCCCAGCCATGTTTTCAAACGAAATATCACTCTGCGCTACTTCTTTAGATTTGGCCATATTTTCATTTATCAGACCACCCTGATTTTTTCTTCTATCTTTGACCCCAGTCACATCTACCACACCCTCAGAAATATCACCAATTTTATGCCGTGTCAGTCCTTCAGATTTTCTCTTCACATTTTCAGAAATCAAATTCTCGCTCAGAGGCTCTTTCCTTTCCAAGTCATCATCGGAAAACTCTCTTTCACTAACTTCAAAATCGCTGAGATCATCTCCTATCAAATCTTCAACAACACTGCTTTTACTCTCAGATACTTCGCGTTTTAACAATCCTCTATCATTTCCGGGAACAGATGATTCAACTTTCTTTCCCTTAGACACTTTTGGCTTGAACTCTTGTGGATCTTTCCCTTCAGAGTGCTTTCCCTTAACTCGGCTACTACCATCTTGGCTAGGCGACTGATTCTTTGAAATATCACTGTAATCTTTTGCTTTGGAGCCTTGACTGTGAATACGACTGGTATCATCTTGCTTTAGTGCATCACTGCACGAAATATTATTCTGTACCTTAGACTGCTTACTAACACCACGACTATCTTCATTCAGCGGTTCACTGTCTGAAATATCACTGAATATATCACGAGGGTCGCCTTCGTATTGATGTATGGTGGGTAAACTTATTGAGTCTGTATTCATAGCTTCTCTGCTACAATAACCACTGCCTTCGCTCCTCAACTGCATCAATCTAGTGTCTCGTATAGGCTCTCCCAAATATTCGTGTCCGTCTGGTTTATTTACTTTCATCGCAGAAATTCTAGTACGATCAGTTTGTTCTTCTTTAAAAAGGCCATCATGTTTCTGTTGAATGTCTCTTTGATCATCGTCATCCATTGCTTTCCTATCATTCCTTTGGCTTCTTTCACGATCATTAAACAATTCTTGGCTGCGTTCTTGTGGTCTAAACCTCGGACCACTATCATTAAACAATTCTTGGCTGCGACCTTGTCCTCTGAAACTTGGACCGTAATTTTCTGTCTCCTGTTCTAGTCTTCTTTGAGGTAATGTTCTTGGGTCTATGTCTCTCTCATAATTCTCATCACCCCTTTTATTCTTCTGTCTATCAGCTTCTTGATTCGATCTTCCCAATGTTTGGCCAGGGTGATGATATTGTCTAGTAGCATCTGAAGGTGGTCTGTTTAAGTAATCAGCTGGATATCTATCAAGTACGTTTTCTGCCGAGTGACGATCAGTGAAGTCTTCTTTGTGAAAGGAGTTTATATCACGAGGTCTTTGATTTGCATAACGTTCATTTCTTTCATCAGGATAACATTCATTTCTTTCATCAGGATAAAGTTTACCATTTCTAGTATTTGGTAAAACTTCACTTGGCATTCCTTCCCTTTGCCCTCTCTCATCTCTTTCAAATGATACATTATGTGGACGTTCTTTATCGTCTCCAGAGAAGCCTTGCCTTTCATCTGTACCATTATTCTCATGACTTCTGCCATGTGGGTTTGACCAATGGTCATAACCAGGTGTGCTCCATCTTGGTACACCATATGGTACTGGTGCAAAATATGGGTGAGCAGAGTGGGGGAACATGTCAAGGGGTGTATTTTGTGGGTACATCCATGGCCCACCATTGTACATCCTGGGATACCCAATATCATTCCTAGGGTATCCTCTAGAGAATCCCATTTCATCCCAAGAGAGCTGTGTTGTTTCCCTAAATGATCTAGGATTAATATCCCTAGAGCATGCCATTCTACCAGTTGATGATCCCATCCTATCATTAGAATAACCCATCATATCCCTAGAATGTCCTGTTGTGCCCTTAGGATATCCAGTCCTACCCATATAAGATCCATTCATATCCATATGGTGTCCTATATCTGCTCTACCAAATCCTACATTATCCCTTGAATTTCCCATTCTATCTCTAGGATACTCTAATGAACCTCCATAATTTTTCTTACTATCAGGAACAGAATGAGATGGTGATCTTTCAAATTCAGTAAAACTATGATGATTTCTATATGGTGTTGAATGCAACTTTTGTTCAACATCCTTGGGAGATCGTTGTTTCAGTTCTTGCCATTTCTTAACATCTTCTGTCCATTTAGGATAAACTGATTTCACATACTGCATGAATTTATTCTGCAAAAAGAATAAATGAAGATAAAAAATCTAAATATTTCCAGGTAGTCCATGACACAAACCCTGGTAACTTCTTGTAGAATATTACCTTTGCTTGATTTAATTTTTCTTCATCTTGCTTGCATTCATTACTGAAGTATGTCATTTGTTCCTCCAATCTATCAATGTCTTCCAGCAATTTCTTGTTTCTTGCAAGACATTTCTGCTCGTCCTCCAGCATCTGTTTATAGCGTCGATCCGCAAGACTAGAAAATAATGGAAAATGAAAATTACTAAATACAGCAAAACCTCAGCTACAGTAATGGACATTTTTCTAGAGGCATTTGCCCTAGAGTGTGAACATCTCCCATAATTTTTGTAAATATTTTGAATATTTTCAGGGAGGTTAGGGTCATAGGAAGCTCTTTTCACTGGTGTGGTTGAAAGTGAGGGCCGAAGGCCCGAGGAAATTTTTAAATTTAGAGTCTCTGAAATGCCATTTCCTGGACGTTGGCGAAGATAACTGACAGAATTCTGATGGTCAGAAAACAGCGTTTTAGTATGTCGAAATTTACAAATATTTGGTGGTACTAAATGGGCAAAGGCATATTTAATTAACTATATATTGGATAAGTTGCAGGAAAGTATGGGTAATATCTTCATTCTTTGCAGTTTGTCATGAATAATGTAGCCGCTTACAATTAATAAAGTTTAAAATCAATAAATGCCCTACGGCCCTGCCTCTCGTAAGCGCACTGGCTAGGCACATGGCAACAGTAATGTTGGCCTCCTGTATGGTCTGTGTTCTGTGCCTTTAGCATCTGTATATGTGGAGAGGTCTGCCACTCTGCCTGTACCAAAATAACCATGGAATTCAAATTGTCACTGTCCACTTTTTATCGACTTGAGTAGCAGGTTCTATTTCAAGCAGAGAGCCTGGCATGCAGGGCTGCAGGCTACCCCCAATGGCTATCCATCCCCTACCCTGTGTCTGGCACTGCTGGTGGTACCGTCGCATGGTATATGCCTTACTGGAGACCTAGTTATCCAGTAAAAATAAAGTTTACTATAACTTTACATTATTATTTATTAAATTGAGCTGTACAAGTACAAACTTACCGGCTACTTTGAAAGCTGCTTTTATACATAATTGTAAAGATGCAGTCACCCAAGGGGAAAATATATTGACATCATTTGAAAACATCTAAAAATCAAATTATTGGGGAAACTGACTTGTACATGATAACTACAGAGCATAATTGTATAGTTAATAGCAAGCAATATCAGTAAATTAAAACTATAAATATGACGAACATACCTGATTTGCAAAGAAAAACGACCATTTGGTATTTGTTTATTTTTGTTTATACTAAATTTCAAAATTCAAAATGGCCGCCGAATTTTCACGATCCACTAATCTCGCGCGGGACCCACGCGGACAGACCAGGAAAGTGTTGAACACGAGGGAAGCAAGTGTTTTTACTCTTCTTCCCAGGGGCACGATCAGATTTTTGAGACCGTCAGGACTTCCACAGAGGGACTTCCAGATGTACTGTAGTGTACATAAATTTGAATTAGTGTTAATTTCTTATTAGAAGGAAACCGGAATACCCCGTAGTGTTTTGTAGAGTTAAATGGCTGGAGCACATTTCTCACATGCGAGCCGAAATTATAATCAGACAACAGCATTATTAGACCCTCTGTGTCTAAGCCCGTTGGTTAACTATCTCACTTTGGCTATATAAAGCCTAACAAAAAGGATAATCAAGGTGATGTCAGTATCATTCAGCTAGGATATATGAAACGTTGGACAGCAATATACCGTAAACCTCCAAATATAACCCCCCTCCCATATAAGCCCCCCAGTGCATAAGCCCACCGTATTCATTAACACTCGGGCCATTCCAAATATAAGCCCCCTGAATAAAGTACTTTCAAGATTTTAATTTACAGACTCTTTTAATAACGCTCGCAACCAAGAAAAACTATAATGGATATTTTATCCAAAATCTGATCAGTACATACTATAATTCCATACATTTATCATCAAAAACACCAATTTTTCTCTAATTTCTATTTTTTCTCTAACACCGGTACCAACTATTTAACTTTAACTTTGGACAAAACTAAATAATCTATACGCTATTAATTGTTCACTTTGTGTCCTGATGAACTTTGAAATTTAACACCCACAACCTCAAACCCTCGGCCAACCTCAAACTCAGGACACAGAATACTATACAGAAGTCCATCAAAGACCCTGGGTTCGAGGATGAAGTCCATCTCCATTGCTTTTGTGTAAGCGCTATTCGTCATGATTTGTCACTCAGCAAGTATTGTAAACAGCAGCAGTCACCCCCTGGAAATATTCAAAATGGCACACTTCCAGGGGGGTGACTGCTTCTGTTTAGGGCACTTGCTGAGTGACGAATCATAACGAATACATGACGAATAGCGATTACCCAAAAAACAATGGAGATGGACTTCTATATAGTATTCTGTGCCCAGGGCCTTTGCACGGTTCAGAGGCTCTGGTATGGTTTCTGAACCGCAAAAGGCCCTGGGTACGATGTTGACCTTCGGCGTCTACGAGAGAGGACAACTTTAATATTCAACACTGGCAATAGACCCTTTGCATGACATCACAAATATGTCAAAACATAAGTGACTGGATGGCATGGAGAACAGTGCAATTTGACCAGTGTGGTCATCGAATCACTGTCAATGATGGGACTGTTGTTATTTGAAGTGTTATGCAAAGGAGCTCATTGAATTTTGTGCCTGACAAGTGTTAACAAAAGTTGTCCTTCTCGCGGAAGTAGCAGTATTTCAAAAATATTGAATGCAATAGTTTTACTGTACTTTCAACAGTCTATTTCACAAAACAACCCAATTTTCAAAGTACACCAAAATAAACCCATATAAATTAAGCTGATTTTCCACAATGACTACAAAACCTGTCTGAGGGCAAAATCCAAGTTGAACAACGACTACAAGACCTTGTCTCATGTCCGTTTGAAGAATGAAGCATTAACCCCCCGGTGTGGGGTCTCATATACGGGTGAAATGGCAGGCCTATGTGATTTCGCCGGGGGAGCATGTAGGGCCTGAACATTGAGCGGGAAGGAAACGCCGGTGGGGTAAATGGTGGTATTACAGGTGATGGAAGGGTAGATGGCAAAACTGGGGGTGAATAGGGGACTATTTTGGTCGAGACTGGTGAAAACGCTGATAGTCGGGTATCGTTCGGGCTTTGCTCGGAATCGTTCGTCACAAAAACGGAAGACGTCGACGGATCTTCAGGGCTTATCGGAGGGGTCGGAAATCGGAGCATGCCATTCTCAAGCATCAGTGATTCGGTTGCGCGAACTAAATCATTGTCATAAGCTTTCAAAATCATCTCCAGTATAGGTAAACTGTGTTGAGGAAATATTCTTTGTAAAATTTCAAACGAGGAGTTCGACTCTTGACATTTTCCCGCGCTGTCCTTATTTACAGTCGCTTCGCTTCGTCGGGCCTTCGTGAAAGTTTCGGGCTCGTCAGAATTCTCCGATGTGTCAAGCCATCTTGTGATTGACTGTTTCTTATCAAGCTCTACGTCATCCGTCGGTGAATCGTCGGTGCTTTCTTGGTCTTCCGATTTTCCGTCTTCAACGTCGTCGTCATTGTTGGTACAAATGCTAGTTGCGTCAGTGAAATCTATATAATTAAATAGAGAGGTTTAAAAGACATAAAAGACATAGCTAGACGGATTGAGATTTCGAGATTATTAAAAGAAATAGATAGAGGATATTACACGGCCGCGCGAAGATGACTTTTATCTTCGAGTGAAATAAAAGTCATACCTTCAAGACACTGTTTTGTGACAAATTGTGAAATTTCACGCTCAGAAGCAAATTGGAAAAAGTTACGTGATCGATATCTTCACTAGTGAAGATATGAAAAATATCTCACTGTGTATTTTTCAGTATCTCACTCTCTACTATATATAATAAGACATATTATGGGACATACAGAACCTTGCAGAACCCCGTGATCTTGAACTTTTTCGTTTCCCTTGCACGGGTGTTCGAGCGGGGTTCTATCAATGGCTTTTACTATATTGGTAAGTTTCGTCTATACTGTTATTCTGGATTGCTTCAGACCTGACAGAGCGGGATTTTGGGACCCTGAGGAACACATACACCCTTCCGGAATGTATGTTACTGTAATTGGCTATATAGAGCCTCATTTTCGTAGGAAGAGATTATTTCGCTGGCCTCAAAGTGACAAAACGTAACAAAGCAACGGTTTTACTAACACTATATATAACCCTACTCCAAACACCAACTCTAACCCTAACCTTTAATCCAATCCTAACCCTAACCTAACCCTACTCCAAATTGGTTTCTAAACCAATCTTGAAGAAAAAAAGTTATGACGAAATGTCATTCTGAGGTCAGCGAAATAGTTGATGCCATTTTCGTATGGCGAAACTGATTAGCATGGCGTGTCAATGACGAAAACGAGGCACCATGGTCAAGATGACGTATCCTTTCTGGAAGCATGTATTCGCACGAATAATTAAAGCTAGTTTATACTTTCAAAGTTTCTGTGATCACAGTAGGAATTTTGCAAAGTTTTGAAGAATTGATAAGAAATATTTGGGGGAACGGACGCAATGTTAAATACCGAGTACCCTATACGCAAAATTCCTACTGTGATCACAAAAACTTTGATAGTGTAAACCTGCCTGTAGTTGTTCTCCAAAAATTCGTAAAATTTCACCCGTGTGAAACGAAAAGCGAAATCGAAAGACAGTATAAACACGAAGTCGGAGAGGACGCGAGTGCATCCCACGTGGGGGTCGAAACGTAGGCGAAGTTCCTGCTCTTGGCATAACACGTTTCGGACCGGAATTGTTTGGCGACTTAAGAAACTTAATATTCAAGATTTGATACACACCACTTGTGTGAGTTGAGGGTTTTCATTCAAATTCAAATGAGCGGTAAAGTGGTTATAATTAAGCGTTTCAGTTCGGAAGTTTGCCCGCTTCAAATGATTGATTTTGAATATTAGATAGGTGCAATGTGTATTCCGCTACGGGAATATTTTGAGCCAAGAACTGATTGACATATAAACTCTGCGGTTTCGAGTAAATTTCCGCTATTTTGTCTTTTGACCAGAAAACGTGCAGTTACACATAATTAAGCACCAACGTTAATTACAGTATTAAAAAGTGGTTATCAATATTGTTTTTGTTCTTCGCAACAAAGAAACATGCAAGAAAACTATTTTAAATAGACAAAATACTAAAATAAAATAGGAACAAGCAAAAATCATCATTTTTTCGGCAAAGTAGATTACTTTAAACTTTTACATGTAAGCAAGAATATAGTCGTACAAATAATATTGCCTTCGCAGGCTCATTAAACAAAATGGCTTCTTTAAGGAGTAAAAGCCTGATTCCACGGGCGCTTTTTCTCGGCGAAATGCGAAATATTTCGCCTGTTTCTTTTGAAATGTGGGCAATCAAGTAGAAATAATTTATTCGAGTGGTCGCAATTCAAAAGAAACAGGCGAAATATTTCGCATTTCGCCGAGAAAAAGCGCCCGTGGAATCAGGCCTTAAGGAGCTGTGCTGCTCCAGCTGTACACTAAATGGTATTCGTATGGTTCCCATTGTCATTGAATCGTTTTGTTTACATATTGTTAGTATCAACTACTTATTAGTCACTTGCTTGACTATATTCTGCCTGTCTGTCTTTGTCAAAAATTCCGACACAATGTTATAGACTTGAAGACTCCAATTATTAGTAAATGTAAAGAATATACCATTAAGTACTTTATTGTACATCATAAAAGCACATAAATTAGGTTACATTTAAGTGGCAACAAAAATTTGCCTCACAAGTGAAGTTCCCAAGCATTTACTGAATATTAGAATATAAAATTCGAGTAAACAATCTATATGTCTTAATAATGCTAAAGCAAGTATCTACCATTCTACGTCAACTGTTTATTTATTAAACGAGACGTAATATTATAAAAATATCAATTCCTGATTGGGACATTCCGCAATTAAGTTTTGATTTCAGTATAAGTATTCGCTCCATTTCGGGTCTCGAGTGACGAGCACGAGTTACTAAAAATGCTTAAATTTTACCCCACAGACTCGACAGCAATTTACGCTAACTCCAGACAATTTTATTAGAAACAATAAATCCATGCTCTAGTTTTAAAACTATTATGAGGCTTTATTAATGTATTTTCACAATCAGTTCCGCATAACATACTATAGTATAGGTGGCTATGGAATTTACATTTACTAATAATAGGTGGCCTACTATAGTAAGGTGGCCTACGGAAGTTATCGGAGTAAGAAAATATGAAATGTTATCTTGACTTGACAAATCACAAATGTAGCTAACTTAATTTTCTAGCGCCTCTATAACAACATTTCTAAAGTGCACATAAATAATCTGTTGCTCTGTAAAACTTGTAACGCTTCCAGAAATCCACCATATAGTTGACATGTTATTGTGCACAGTCACAGAACGAAACTTGCAAAAACATGGTTAAACGTATTATAAAACCCTATAAATTCCTACATATATATATACCTTCCTGTTCCACAGAACCACTGTAACAATCCTCCTGAAGATTTTCATCAAATTTGGCCAACTGGTTTAATTCTGCTTCTCCACGTTGTTGAAATCTCGCTCTTAGATTCTCTTCCTGAGTCTGTTGCCTTCGCAGGGCAACTTGAGCGGCCATCACTCGTTGTCGTTCGGCAATTAGCGTGCATTGAGCACACGTACAATCGCGCCATCGGCAGTAACGTTTGTGTCCTTTTAGCCACGAAACGACACCGTGATTTCGGCACCTAGCACATTTCGGTGCGCGTGGTGGCTTGCGGTCAGAGAGACCAGTCATGGTTATATACTGCGACTCATTCCGGTCGCCCTCCATCGAGAAATAACTAGATACTGAAACAACGTTTAAACTTTCAACTTGTCAACTGTTTTATGCCAATACATAAAATGCTAAGTAACCACAAGTTGACGGTTCTCTATTGTCTCACAAAATGACGCATTGTGTCAAAATGTTTGTACAAATCGATTGCAATTTGTCTGTGTTCTGTGATTGGTCGGCAAGCGCATACCACCGTCAACAAACAGGACAAGAAGTTATGTCAACACAGAGTCAACATCCAAATTATATGATAACAGATTAATATCATATACACGCGAAATGAAACACGTTTAGTCGGCCATGAGAAAAGGACAGCCGGGTGTTGAAGAGTTTAATAACATTGTAATGTTGATAAACTAATAAAGTTTGCGATAAAATCGCCACACCGGCATCGCATGGCGGCATATGGTCCAGACAAGGGCTTCCTTATATGCTAATAATGTTTTAGCCAAATGTATACCTTTCAAGAACGGTTAAAACGTTTTGAGAGTAGAGAAAAAGGCGCCAAGGTCAAGTTGAAGCATCTATAAGTCTGACAAAATTTGCATGCATGGGACAAAATTTGCATGCATTGAGCCGTTGAGGCTGGTTTTTACTATCAACCGTTTCTGTGATCGCAGCGGGAATTTAGCATAGGGTAAAGTTTTGAAGGATTTGTAAGAAATGTTTGAGGGGGCTGATTTAGTGTTTAACACTGAGTCAAAATTGCTGCAACTTGCAACAAAATCTGATTTCAACGCATGTTATTAATAAGTAGAAATTATGTCGACACATGTTGCCTTGTGATTTGTACATTTATGTGTAAACATTTTCAATTAACATGCGTTGAAATCAGATTTTGTTGCAAGTTGCAGCAATTTTGTTGCTCGTATAACTCCAGCTTTAGAGTTTACCTATGTAGAATTCCTACTGCATGTGATCCCAGAAACTTTGATAGTGTAAACCAGGCTTCATATATAGGCTGGTTAAAGCCGCGGTTCATGGTGTCTGAACGTGGTGTGAACTACCCCAAAAGGTTAACCGCTAGGAAGTTAGCGGCGATAACTTCCTAATGAAGCCATTGAAGGGCTTTTGCCTCGGCTTTTGCTTCAAATGTCGAAGCTTTTTTAATCTTTTTACGGTAGTTCAGAGATAAGCCACGCACGGCAGCTTATATTTGCAGATTGGAAAAAGCAGTCATATTTGATATGACGTCATTACATGTAAGACATTAGCGTTATGATCAAACTTTGACTTAAGTAAATTTGCGCTGTGATGAAAGTCTTCGAAGGATTCTCATATTTTTTACCGTTCTCATAAGAAAACCCGTATAGGTACAGTGTAGGGTCGAGCTCTCTCGTTGCCTTGGGGGAGTGGTCTACTGGTTTGACTTTCAAAGTTGTTCAAACTTAAATATCATCGTTTTAAGGTGGCATTGTAGCTTTTTGCCTTCAATCTAAAAATGCATTTGCAAGATACCACATGATTTATGACCTATACGCTGATTTAGTTACAGAGTAACATACTGTTTGCTAACACGCTTTCATAAACACTCTCACATCAAATGGCCTGATTTAATTAAGGCGTTAAAATATATCCATCAATCTTTAGGCAAATAGCGCGATGAATTGCGGGCCGCAAGAATGTCCGAATTTTATTGTTTTTTAATGGTTTGTTTGATTCGTGGGGGATTTGTTTTATTGTCGGGTCACTTTAGGTTAGCCAGCTAACTTGACGTGAGTCAATAGTCGGGATTAAAAACACACATCTACGGATTTATGTTTTGAATTTCAAATTTAAAGTGTTTCCAGTCTAAAGAATGAAAAATAAACATGATTATAGGGCATAGTTTAACGTTTCCGGTTAGGCGGCTTACTTGGTCACTCCAACAAAACAAATCACGAATCTGTTTGCGTATATACACCCCTTATACGCTGACCTTGCTTAATATGGAATATTTTTATATTCATTGCATGTTCAAAACACATGGCAAAATGTCACTTAATCATTAACGATGTGTTCCACTCCTAAATTTAACATGCAAATATATTTTATATATTGCACTGAGGTTCAATTGGTTTGGTTAGGCCGAATCTTCGAAAAACCCTTCGACATTTATTTTAATGGAGTGGGATATATCCAAAATACTGATAAATACAGAGATCCGTCTCCTAGCTTGTCGGCGCATTTGATGTCAGCGTAATCCTCGCCATGTCCCTGAGTTTGCTAAGGAGAGGTTATGTTGTAACTCCCAAAAAGGCAAAACATTCAAAATGGCGGGGTAGTTTTAGACGCTCAGGGGTGAATGCGTGCCTCTTGTTAAGGTTGATTTCCACTGTTGCGTTTTTCGTACGCACGCGTACACGCACGTAAAACTTTGAATCCTTCTATTTTTTAAATATTTTACAAATAAGTTAACAAATGCATACTAAAACTTGCGGAACACTAAATTCTGTTGCTTTATTTATTTGGTTATTTCATAAGTAACATTTAAACGGATTTAAAGTTTTACGTGCGTATACGTACGTATGAAAAACGCAACAGTGGAAATCAGCCTTTAACGTACTGGCTTGGATACGCACTTTTTGCCAAGTCAGACCTCTGCATAATCTATACTCTGTGACAATGCGACAAATGGTCAAACCAGAATGAGAGTCAGGGACGCCGGAACGATGTGAAGGCAAGGGGGGAGGCAGATTTTCGTGAAAGGGCACTTTTGAATTGTATATACTAAGAGATGTTTGCAAAACATTGGGAGTTGAACTTCGCCTAATATGTTTTCTATTTATTGGATGATAGGGGTGCGAGGGGGTTCTCCGCCAGGCGATTGTGCTATTCTTGAAGCTCGATGACTGCATTTCTTGCGTTTTCTGAAGCAAGGAATTTCACTAGGAATTTCACTAACATTTCTGACAATTCGCTATTTCGCCAAGGCAATCCTTTAAAGTGAAAAGGCACCTTTGCCCCCCTTGCCCCTCCTGGTAAAGGGCAACGGGGGCGGCTGCCCCTCCTGCCCCCCAGTTCCGGCGTTCCTAATGAGAGTTGATTAGAATTGCAATTCTCGTTCGTGTTTGACCGCCAACTCTCATCGACTTTGAGCTGGTTTAAAAAAAATTTGTCTCGTTTGACTGCGGGGCATAACATTTTTGTGAAGTTTGTCCGCGAGGTAAAATTCGGTTGTGTACATATACGTGGTCACGAGCAGAGCTTGCGTGGCCACGCAGGTGATCATTAAGTACATATTGCATATAATTAAACTTATATATAGCGTAACACTTTATCATAGTAAGTTTCTAAATGATATCTTTTATATCAATGTTTTCATATTAAAGATAAACAACAAGCTGTTACTTAATGAAGTCGCTCTCACGACCGCGTTTGTGATAAAAATCACTATATTCATCCGAAATTTTCTAGATTTAATATTTAATAAGTGTAATACTTTGTCGCTATTTCTGAAATTGCGAAGATAGCGGTATAAACCACAGAAGATTTATGAAATATTGTAAATGAGATTAAAATTACATTAAAAACTTATAGAGTTTCGCCAATTAGCAGCGACATACGGTTCGTTCGCGATAAAGAGTTTAATAAAGTATTATAATTTTATTTATAGGTGTCTTGTTTTGGAGCAAATTTCATCTTGTTAATATCAAGCTCTATATCAAGTATAATGCAGCGTTCCCAATATAGAAGTCGGCACCCGGCAATTTTCGCCGTCTATAGCGTAGACAATTGCTAGTTATCTCTCGAAATTCTAACCCCAAATATACTTGGAATTTTACCACAGAAGTTTATATAACAATTCTTAAACGATATATTCTTTGTTAAATATTTGAATAGTAAGACAAAATCTCCAAAACAACTTTCCACATTATGTCGTTTCTCTGGAGTATACTTTCCTTTGCACGTTGCGGTCGTGTAAAATTGATATTACCAGGGCTCCCAATAGAATTTTGAGTAGGAGGCTTTTTGAGAGAAAAAGGGGGCTATGTGCTATATTGAAAATACCACTCTCCTGGAAGGGGATATATGAGGATCGTCCCTCGTGAAAATTTTGAAATTTAGACCTCCCATGTATAGTGTTCATTCTTGTTCTTGTTGCCTTTTGCACGGATATACGTTAGCTCATATATACATAAAACGTCAGCGGAGTAGAAGTTTGTTTTTGTCTGAACTGAAACCTTCGATGTTTATAGCGAAGGATTTAAGCCCGTTTTCCACAAGGTGAATTTGTTTGCGCGAAGCGACTTTTCCCAATTCGAATTCTTGTTTCTGGTATTGTGCACTCAGGTGAAGATATATATGTTTGTGATATTGCATGCTCGAGTCTGAGTGTGTCCACAACGGGCAAACTGAAAAGTTTGCTTGACCGCGTTCAAAACAAAGTAGAGAGTTTAAGTTTCGCGTTATACGTCAAACGGCAAACGCCAGGCAAGGAAACATTTTACGGTATCAGGCAATAAAGAGTAAACTTGCTGTTTTAAAACTGAAACACATAATTATTCTTTCGACGCAAGAAAGAAGATATGAAACGAAAAACCTTCAACGAAAATTTTGTCAAGAAAGTTCGAACCTGCCGTTTGCCGTTCCCGGAAACGTGAAGCTTAAACTCCCAACTTGTCGGCATCCTTTTTCACGTCAGCAAAAGCGACGCCGACAAAAAGGAAAAAGTCGCTTCGCGCGAGCGAATTTGCTAGTGGAAAACGGGCTTTAGTATATAGTGGCTATTAATCTGCTTACGAACGACCTTCGCTGGAAACCTCCAATTCATTCGAATCTTTTACAGATAGTTTAGACGCAACCACGTATTTTAAGTTAACTATACTATTTAACTACAAAATAGTGGGTAAAATGTAGTTAAGTCTAAAGAGTTTTATGCAGCCGGCCCCTGGTATAAAATCAACTTGTGTCAACTTTTTCTTAGGCTTAGCCCATGCAGGTCTATATTGGGTTGAAATAAAAATCATCTATACACTATATGAAGATTATGAATCGAGACGAACCTTATCAAATCTATTCTATCTCCACTCATCATGGTGTTTCCACTACGACAGGGGCATCTTCCTCCGGTTCCTCGTCAAAATTCCACTGAAAACGCTTCGTCAAGTATTCCTTGAACTTTTGAGTTTTCCGTTTGAGCTTGGCAGACACCGCCGAGTCTTGAACGGTCATGAAAAACGTCTGTGACAAAAACAATAAACATCTTTACTCATCGTCACTTTGCAATTAAACTAAACATAAACTATAACTTTATTTGGACCGGATACTATATCAGTCATAAACATTTCTTCCAGAAGTCATGTAATGGTCATCTATTACTGGCCCAGTGTTACTACAGGACGAAACTGGAAACGAATCTGTTGGTTCTTTAAATATATATAAAATATCTTTAAATATCTGGCTGGTCGCTCAGTGTCAATTTTCACTGGCCTACAAACACGATCAGCTGTCGGGAGCTGAAAGACCAACGTAACGTTTAAAGCGTTTGAAGTGTTGTTTGCAAAGTATGTCAATGCCTCAATGGTTTTATACGTGTGCTGTAAGAAGATTAAGTTCTAGGTGTGTAAAGCAAGTCAAAACTCTCTTGAGTTTATATATATTCTTGCATGCTTATAAAAAAGTTGACTGTTTTCGGGAGACTGTTTTCGCCATTTTCCCACACTCATTACAAGTAAAAACAACAAACCACTTTGAGTTTCAAGTACAACTGTTCAACTGTACTCAAATAAAACAACGAACTTTTCGTCGCGACATCTTATCAAATTAGAAAAAGTTACCGCATGTATGTATATATATATATATATATATATATATATATATATATATATATATATATATATAGGTTTAACAAATGAAGACTCCTATCAGTTCTAAATCCAACTCAGCCCAATGTTACTAGAGAGGGAAACCAGAAATAACTTAAAGTGCTTATGAAACGAAATTTTCACCTCATTTTTTATTGTTTTGCTAAAAAGTACTGCTAGAGCGATGAAGAATGACGTTTACAGTTTCTTCATATCTTATCTCATTCTCAAGTTATCGCACTTTATAAATTTCGAGTTGTGACGTCACTAGTTTGACTTGAGATAATGGCAATAACAAGAAAGTCTGATATCTTAGTGAGTATTTAATAAAATTCAATGAAACTCGGTACACTTAGTGGGTGCACCCATATGAATATTTTTGGCAGGTCATGTGGTTGTCATGGCAACACACTAGTCCCCAGTCTCTTCTCTTCTTTTTCACGAATTTCCTCCTGTAGACCTTTTGCAGAGGATGTTTGCATGTTATAACGGTTTAAACTGATCACAACACCTACACTTATTATAGTAATAAGCGACAATTGCAGAAATTACTATTTATTTCGTTGGAAATGGATCATATAGAAATTGGAAGAGAAGGGACTGGGGACGAGTGTGTTGCCATAACAACCATATAAACAAGCCAAATTGTTCACTTCGTTGCACCCACTAAGTGTGCCAAGTTTCATTTAATTTTCTTAAATGATCATCAAGATATCAGATTTTCTTGTTATTGCCACTATTTTGAGTCAAACTAGTGACGTCACAACTCAAAATATAGAAAGTGCGATAACTTGGGAATGAGAGGAGATACGAACAAACTGTAAACGTCATTCTTCATCATTTAAGCAGTACCTTTTAATAAGACAATAAAAAATGAGGCAAAAATTTCGTTTCATAAGCACTTTAAGCCGTTTGGCATAGAGTCAAACTGGAAGCATGCTATCTTTACGACAGAGGTAAAATCACGAGATCAATGCGTGTACTATAATGAGGCCTGGAATCAAATCAGGAATCCAAGCCTGGTCACAAGATGAAAGGCATACTATAACCATTATTTTGAACTGTCTGTGCCAGTGTAGGTCAGTAGTGCCAATAACATGAACAAGCTTTCGTTCGTATGGATGCAACTACCTACAAAATATAAGGAGAATTTCGACGTTTCGAGCGAAGGCCCTTCGTCTGGAGTTCCGAAGACGAAGGGCCTTCGCTCGAAACGTCGAAATTCTCCTTATATTTTTTTAGGTAGTTACATCCCTACCAACAACAAATACTTACGTGATATTTTCTGTGTTGGTGTAGTGTACTCAGGTGAATAAGATGCTTGTGATGTTACTCTGAGTGTATATCCACACCAGGCAAGCTTGAGAAATATGCCTGACCACGGTGGGAATCGAACCTACGACCTTTGGAATACTAGCCCAATGCTCTACCAACTGAGCTACGCGGTAGATATCGAAGGTAGAGCATTGGGCTACTCAGTTGGTAGAGCATTGGGCTACTATTCCAAAGGTCGTAGGTTCGATTCCCACCGTGGTCAGGCATATTTTTCAAGCTTGCCCAGTGTGGATATACACTCAGAGTAACATCACAAGCAAAATACTTACGTGTAAATTATCGACCAAGAAATTATTCCTGGACACAATGTCAACGAAAAAATCTTGTGGCGTTTCCAACAGTTGAAAATGGATGACACCTAAACGAGAGAAAAACCATGCATAAACCGCCGTGTTTTGTGTCTGAACTAATATACTATCTGATTAAAAACACTTTGTCTCGGATGTTTCGAAATAAGGCTCTCCATCAGGAGTTGGTCAATAACAATTTCTTGTAGGTGAGGGCTTTCGCTGTGAACATCAAGTTTAACTAGTCTGTGCACATGATTGTATTGTAGTATATGATGTTAAGCCACATGTTAAACTACAAATATTTTATTTTTACATGTAATGACTATATTCTATAATGATTTGCTGACAATAAAAGTTTCACTTCTTGAATAAAATATATGCAAGGAAATGTTTCCAAAGACATTCTAATTTTCTGAGATGCACCTGATGATTGAGAATGAAAAATAACAGAAAAGTAAGATGCTGCCCATGCTCACCGATTTTCTGTTAACACTTTTTAACATGCCCTAGCTATAATATATCCGACATTGCATTGCAAATGATTGCCTGGTGGAACATGGGGTCTGTGTCTGTGTAGGTTAGGCCAACAACAAAACTTCGGTGACGGTTGATATATAGGGATGCAATGGACCATTCCCCAATTAACCAAAATTTTGAACTCAACAAGTCTAGACAAAAATTTCATCACAGCTTGAAAGAGCATCACAAAATTAGCAAAATGTTGTAAAATGCGTTGCAAAATGTTGTAAAATGCGGAAAATATAGCCTTGCGAAGTTTGCAATTTTCAGTCATTTTAGATTACAAACGGGAAATGGTTACCACTTCTGTGCGTAATACAAAATGACTGAAAATTACAAACTTCGCAAGTGCCAAGGCTATATTATCCGAATTTTACAACATTTTGCAACGAAACTTTGGAATATTACTAATTTTGTGATGCTCTTTCGAGCTGTGATGAAATTTTTGTTTACGCTAGTTAAGATCAAAATTTTGGAAAAATGGTAACCGTTTCCCGTTTGTAATCTAAAATGACTGAAAATTGCAAATTTCGCAAGGCTATATTATCCGCATTTTACAACATGTCGCAACGAAACTTTGGAATATTACTAATTTTGTGATGCTCTTTCATGCTATGATGGAATTTTGTCTAGACTTGTTGAGATCAAAATTTTGGTTAATTGGGGAATGGTCCATTACCTGCCTTCATTCGGCGAAGTTCTCCTTGTATTTTTCAGGTACTTGCATCCCTATATCAACTAAAGTTTTATTGAAAAGGCAACACCTTCAAAAAGAAACGGCCGTATAAGGAATAAACATTAGATTGTATCTGATACTGTAAGCAAGCTTATAGAATGTAATAACATTCCTTTTTGACATTGATACTAAAATGTCTCATTGAATCATGACATTTCAAAGTGGTTCATTATCATATACAGTTGAACACCTGGCATTTCGCACGCTATCAAGTACATGTTATTTAATCTGATTTCTAATACGTTTTATTCAAAAATTTTGAATGACAAGGTAAGAATATGAGTCGCATTAAACACTCAACATCAAACAAACATAAACACGAAATGATAAAAAGTGGCGAAAGATATTAAGCTCATATTCTTTACTGTTAACTGCTGTCAGTGTTTATTTTTACTTTCAAACGTCTTCTTTCGGTTTTGAGCAATGGTAGAAAATAATCAAAATTGGTAGGGCTGTTCATGCCAAATTTGCACCACTAAATACACTGTTCTTACAGTGATGGTCCAGTATTATTAGAGGAGGAAACCTAACTAAACTGACACTATTTATATGGGATAGCTCTATCAATTCTAAACTGTCCTCCCTCGAGGTCCAGTAAGGATCATCCCTGATTGATCGAGTATTACTACAGGAGGAAACTTAAACTAAACTATTAAAACTAACTTTACTTATACTGGATAGCTCTATCAGTTCAAAACTGTTCTCCCTGGAGGTCTAGCGAGGGTCATCCCAGTGTTACTACAGGAGGAAACCTAGTATATTAAAACTAACTTTATTTATACTGGATATAGTAGCTTTATCGGTTCTACAATGTTCTCTCTAAAGGTCCAGTAATGATCATTCCTGATTGATCAAGTGTTACTACAGGAGGACAGCAAAACTAAACTACCTTCGCTTATACCAGATAGCTCCATCAGTTCTAACTTGTTCCCCCTAGGTCCAGTGCCGTTGGTAAGGTAAACCAGAGAAAACCTGCACTGTTCACAAGTCATGTGACTGCATGACGCTCAATTATAATCATAAAACTATATACTTAAGCCTGAAAAAAAAAGATGGGAGTGCATGAGAGTTGGCAGTCACACGACCATGGTCAGCTGTTTTTAATGCTTTCCCAACACTATCATGTATTCCAGTTAAGTTAAAATGTAGTTGGAACATTCACCAAACTTTATTTTGTTAATTTAGACCTTGAAATGTCCCCTGTGACAATGCGTGACTGCCATCATCCTCGTTTGAGTGGGGCTTTAGTTTAATTAAACATCACATAATATTTCAGGAATGTTTGCTTAATAAAACAAGCCTAGGATACACTTTTAGGCAATGAAATAATTAGGAACTGCCATAAAAATTACTTTAGAAAAATGAATCCCAACCTATGAAAGCTTCAAAGACATCAGGATGTTTGTCCACTGCATCTACACATGAACACAACAAGCGGATCAAGTTCTTCCATTGTTCAAATGCGTCATAAACTGAAACATCAAAGTATTTAAGTTAAACAAGTAGGCAAATTACAAGAGAAATGTTTTTGCAAAATGTATGACTTCTAGGAAGGTAGCTGTGTATATTACCGACTATAAAACAAATTCTACATCTACCTTGGCCAACCAGAAATGTGATGAATGCCAACTGAAGCTCACCAAGGATATCTTTAACTGTTTGAAAAAAATTGGTAGTGCTTGTTTCACCTTAATTTCAACTTTCATTACTGCGTCAATTATTTTCACAGCGTGGGTTGGATTCATCCATGTAGACTCGATTATTACAAATGGTGAAGATGTATGATGGGGCCAAAATAACATGACATATACACATGTATCTAACCGGTTTAATAATCTGACATTGGAGTATTGGACACAGAGTAAAAAAATAATTAAAGTAAGGTGCATTGTGGCACAGTGCAACTCAATGGGTTAACTAGATCCATGGGCAGATGGTCTGGTTAACACGTTGAGAACCAGTACTCTCCCCTTGACGAGTAAAATTGTCTGGCATTAGATGGATTCAAATAATAAAGTCGGGTGTATTGGGGTGCAATGCAACTGAATAACTAAATAATAATACACATAGGAACGTGTTTGGATCACCCTTCTTCACACTAATATTTTATTGAAAATTTTATGTGAAAACAAACCTGTAGACTTAGCCATGATTTCTTCCAACACTTGACTTTTGTCCATTGACAATTTAGTTATTTGTGCAGGTGACGCACCCACAGGAAAATCTCTGAAGGGTAGAGGGGTGAACCGCAATGTTGTATCACATGCAACTGTTCTGATTTCACCCCCACCTTTGCTTCTCTCGCCATCCACAAGATTTTCCTGTGTCACCTCAGTAAGAGAGGAAATCCTCTTGCAAACAGGTTCAATTTGTGTCATGATGGACTCTGTGACGTGACCCGATAGAGAAACCCATTTCTTCAGGCTTTCATAGGGATACTTTCCCAAGTTCTGGTCAAGATTTTCCAGGTCTGAAATAGAAAACTTGTGATTCACACTACATGTTTGTTTGTGTCTGAACCAGTGAACTCAATCTATTTACCTGGAACGATAACATTCAGTCATTTGGCAGTTGAAAAGTGAAGCCTCGCGTGAGCAACATGTGAGCAGTGGCATTAGCCCTCCCTGCCATTTGCACGCCATATAGTATTTCAGTCCCTATATACGTCATCACTGCGCAGTCAATTGCCACACCATCAATCTTGTTCCCCGAGTCTGCGATCCTCGGGAAGGAATCGAAGGCTCTGGGATAATCCGTTACCGGAAGCCAAGAATCCTGGCTAAGATTGAACTACGCATTCCATTTCAATGGCCAATCAGATTCCTCCCTGAAACGGATTATCCCAGAGCCTCGCGTTCCTTCCCGAGGATCGCAGGCTCGGGGAACGAGATTGCCACACCATATAGTATGTCAGTTTCAGTCCCCTTATACGCCATCACCGCACGGCCTATCACGAATCAGCGCGCGTCAGCAGGATGGCGTTGGCGTGAAGTGGTGTTAGCACTGGCTTCACATTTCTCCCGCATGTTATCGTTCCAGATAAAAGACATGGAGTTCACTGGTCTGAACTAACTAAAACTTTGACATTAAAAACAAAGGCCTTTGTCACTTGTAGCTATTTTAACCAACTAATGATATTGTTAAGATATTGCGATCGCCGGTGTTGAGAGGGGAGTGGGACGGAGGAAGTGAAACGGCGAGGAAGCTTCGCGGAATTGGAAAGAAAGAAACTAAAAAAGCGAACTTGTTATGTTAAAGACAGTGAACAAAAAACTTAAAAATAATAACTTAGGAAAAGGCAAGGATACTCAGATTATGCCTCACAAATTGTAAGTCAGTCTTGCTGCAACCTTCAATTATCAGTATATCTGAGTTGTTGTAATAGCTGTAATTTTGCTTGATTTATATAGTTGACTATTTACAAAATAAAGTATTAGTGCAGAAAGAGAAAACAGATTTGGGTATTTCAATGTGATTTGCTTCAAACAAAGTAGCGTCTCCCCGGTTGGCGTAGATGCGAAACAGATATCAAACACAGAAAAACAATTTATGCGATGTCCAGGACAATTTAGCAACAACTTAGTGATGATTCACAACAATTCAAGTTGTTGGCGAGCCAAAAAAACATTTGCATTGCAAATTGTCACTAAAAATGGGCCCTTGGGATTAGAGCTGTGCGCCGGAGCCGGAGCTCCGGCATATTTTGCCGGAGCCGGAAAACTCCGGCAGACAAAATTACGAAAAATTATTTCATATTTCAACAAACATTTGGCATAAAATGGAAAAATTAAGTTGTTGTTTACTAATATATTACTATTTATATGTTGTTTTACTATATATTACTATGTGGTTTACTATTAATAGTGTTGTAAAAAGGTTTTTAAAAAAGATAAAGTCTGAAATTACACTGAAATACTTTCGCCTGCTTCCACTTTTAAATATGGAGCCAGACCCGGAGCTTTGACTGCCGGAGCCGGTGCTAAAATAACCGGAGTTTGCACAGCTCTACTTGGGATATCACACTTGCTTTTCAGCATCTGACGTCATAAAAAGAAAGGTCAGCCCATGCGCACCCCCTTGTGACAGTGAATATATTATGTGTTATATATTCATTTAATATGTGTACCCCCTCCCCCTCTGTTGAGAGGTCTGGGGTTTTTTTCCAAAGGGTCCCAATTTTTTTATCCTAACCTAAGGGAATATTTGCCAGTGTGGAAATGTTGATGCTTTCTATATATTTACTATTAAATTCTTTAAATTTTGGGTGCACAATTTTCAAACTTGCCAGTCAGGGATATTTGAGCCAGACTGGAAAGTTTGGAAATTGCGCGCCAGAGATTTCGAAAATTTAATAGTAAATATATAGAAAGATCAAAATTGCACGCCGGAGATATCCGTCGCGCAATACAAACTTTCCACACTGGTATTTGAGAAATAACACATATATTTATTATTAAATTTTCGAAATCTCCGGCGCGCAATTTCCAAACTTTCCAGTCTGGCTCAAATATCCCTGACTGGCAAGTTTGAAAATTGTGCACCCAAAATTTAAAGAATTATGGGTGGGGAGGGGGGCTATATTAAATGGAATGGCCCATTCTTACCAGCCCTTAACCTTTCCATCTCTTCATCAGACATAACTTGATCTACCAGGTCCTCAATTGTTGGATCCCATTTTTTTACAACAATTTCTTTCTGTTTAAAATATTGAAAAAATCCCGTTCTTGGGGCAACCTGCCCGCTCCGACCCACTGCAGCGTAAAATACAAAATGAAATCCTGGTGGGATCATTTTTACTCCTTTGAATTTCGGGCCAACGTTCCATGAGTTGTAATCTATTCCAAATTCTGTCCCTTCTGGGACATCAAAACAAACTAGTATCGCTCCCTCATAGAAGAGTTTTTTTGCAATTTCATTGTCCATTTCGCCAACAAATTTGAGAAGATATCAACTCAAACCTTTACACTAGCTTTTGAAATACACTTGAACGCTGTAAATCGCTCGAAGAATTGGAAAATTTGTTAAAATTCACGTTTAAAAACGTTTGTTTTTTCCGCCATGTTGTTCACTTTCGTTCCCAGGGAATCGCGAGGTAATATAATACTTTGACCTATATATCATATATCACACTGGACCGTATAAACGATGACGTCACAACATTTCAGACCATTGATGTTGCAGACACTGGAGTAATTTGAGCATCACACTACAAAAACCAACCTGGGTAACAATGGGCTCAACAGTCACACTCAGGGTGTTTTCACCACCAGTTGGATCCAGAGGGTGACTTAACCCTGTGGGGTTATGTCTAACATACCCAGTCTAGTTTTAGTTGTGCACTGCAGAAACTAACAAGACTATCCTAATTTGCCCTGAGTTTATACTCTAACCTGGGTTCATAATTTGAAGATTGTATACACAACAGGGGTAGTTTTAACTCCCCAGCAGCCAAAGTAGGTTCAAACTAACACAGATTGAACAAGGCTAAAACAGTGGGGTAAATGCATTTATAAATCTGGCTTTCCCAAAGCAATGCTTTTTTACTCCCTGGACCCTGATCCAAGCCCAGCGCTCATATTGAGACAGCCAACAAAAGTAAAACACATTTAACCAAATAATAAACAACCTTGTTATTAAACAAGCAATTCATGGAATTATAACACCATAATATATAAACATAACTTTATATAATACTATAGATTTCTACACAAAGTATTGGCAGTTTTTAAGGCATTATGTACCAGTTCAAATTCTGATGTTAGCAACCCTGTCAAATCATAATGTCCATATTTCTTTATCACAATTTTCATTTAAAGCTTTGTAAGCAAAGCTATTTTCATTATTCATTATTTACAATAATTTTAAGGATGTTCTATTAATCTATTCATTTCATAGTTCAAGGCACACAACTGTTCAAGGAACTTTAACAAAATAAGCTGTGTTTGTCAATGGTTTAAACTAACCAAGATCAATAACAGTTTTAACAAAAGTCAGCTGTTTATCAATGTTTAAACTGTTTGACGGCACACAGTATGTCAGAAAGCAAACACGTCAACATAGTGTCTTAGTAATAACATTCAGTGTATGCTTTGGACTGGGTAACAAACTTTCCATTTTAATCAAAAGTCTCTCGACAGTTATCGTCTCACCACCAGCTCCGACCTCAACATGCTCAACTCTTGGATTACACAGTTTTACGTCTTGAAGTTTTTTACACTTCATCTTTAGTTCTCGGAGTAATGCAGTGTCCTGAGGGGTCCCTACCGTGAAATTAATAAACGAGACAGCCTCAATGTCCTTGCAGTTCTTTACGATGCCTTTAACAAAGTTTGTATCAGATAATGCCTCCTTCTTTAATGGCCCAAACTCAAGGATCTTTAACTTTGCGACATGGGGTAGCATCTTAGCCATCGTCGTGGGTCCGACCCGGGGGGAATGACTAACACCAAGGTAACGAAGTTTCGGCGTGAGTCGTAATATACATTCCAGGCATTCAGCAGATAACAGAAAGTTCCAGCGCAGATCCAAAGTTTCAAGCATGGTGAAACTTATCTGCGGGCGGATTTCTTGATAGACCAATAGATTTAAGATGTGTCTAAACCCGCACTGATTCATCTTGAAGTAGGTTAGTTGCGGCAATTTCGACAATAACGTTGTCAAGCCGGTTGTTGTTACATAGTAACAGCCTGTGATATCTAGCTCTTTGATAACTGTAGTTTCCCATTTCACTGCAAGAATCGCTGTGTCAGCTAACTTTGTGAATCTCATTAGCAGTGTTGATAAGAATTTACAATTCTTTAACACCATTCCGAGAGTCGTTCCACCAAAATTCTTGCACTCAACGAGACATATCGATTCGAGCTGTCTGCAACTTCTAGAAATTTTCTCCAAAGCCGAGTCGTTGATTGCCTCACAGTCGGTACAATCTAATACTCGGAGGTTATGCATTTTTCCAAAAATATTTTGAACGAGGCTTGCCGATGATTCCGCACCCAAACCAATATACTTCATTTCGGTGAAATGTCTCGGCAGGCGTTTCATGAATTGAAAATTGCCCCTGCAATGTCTCAAATCCATTAACTCCAAAGTGGCTGGGAATTGCTTGCTCTCCCCAGAGAAAGCTGGGTCCCCCGAAATGGCGACTGATTTGAATACGATTCGTTTTAAATCGGGACATTTACGTGCTAAATCCTTGGCTATTTTAGCTGTCAGTTTCACAGGGCCGAGGTTTAAAGAATTCAGCGTGGATGCCAAGCGTGTTTGAATCACCATTAACATTGTAGTTTCGTCTATGTTTTGAGAAAACGCCGTCAAATCTAAGGTATGCCAAAACGATTTGTCGTAAGCGACACGTCGCCAACGTTTCGATACCTGAGCAGCAACACCAAGCTGCCGTTTGTCTAAATAACGAAATATCTCCAAGATCAACGAATCAGGAAGCTGTGCCTCCATATTTTTCGAATTCTCAAGCCATGCCATTGAGCTTCGCTTCGCTTTCGCTTGGGTAGCTAAGGTGGACACGCAATTTCTAAACGTCGGTTCGCTCGCCCTTTTTCGTGACATTTCGACAGAAAACACTGTTGTATTACATCCAGAAACTTAGCTTTCGTATACCATGTACAGATACGGCAAAAAATGGCGTTTACTCGAGTAAATGGTTCAAAAAACAACTCTATTATGCCGTGTTGAGTTTTAACTTCGTCCTCGAAGATGATCATTCGCCCTTGACCTCTAAATTGTTCTGGAACGACGCTGATTGGTTAATTTGCTCCCCCCATGCCGCTTGGGGAAAAGTTGTTTAAATAACATAATGGACCGCGCATACACACCGCGAGTGCCCCCTCCCCCAGCGACAGAACTTAATTAATTTCCGATAATGTATACAAACGACCAAACTAGTAGAAGGTACAGCAAGCCACAAAATATATAGGGATCTATTCTGTGATAAGGCTCTTGTACATCGCCTAATATCGATGGTTTCTTTCAATTCTATTTACTTGTATTTCCAAAACACAAAACCACCATATGAAAATAACTAGCACATTTCCATCTATAAGCAATGCATCGTATGGTAGTCAAACAGCATCTGAATTAGAAAATTATGTTGATTCTTTCGGTATATGTAATAATCCTGTAGTATTGTTTATAAAGGCAAATCACAGCACCCCAAAACTCATGTTTTATAATCTGTTGTATATGTAGGCAAAATTAATTTGAAATAGAATTAAGAGATATAGTTTAGTTACTCTCTTGTATCAGTGGCAGCTTTTCTGAGTCGAACCCCCCCCCCCCCAATTCACCATTCCGCAGGGCTTTATTCGGGTTGGGTTGCCGTAATGGCGATTAACGCCGATTATGGCGTAATTAGGGAAAAGCAAGGTAGGGAAAATCCAGATCAAATATAAACCAATCATATAGCGTGAATTTACCGGAAATATAATGTACAATATTTTACAAATATTTCGTACCATTATTAATAACAGAAAGCAAAATTACTTTACGTGAACAAAAAGCATTATAAAAAGAATCATATAAACAAATAGCCGCTGTATTATGAACTTCAAATGTTTACTTAGTATAAATTACACTGGCCTGTAAGGCCAAGTGTCTTAAATCCCCCTTTTTCTGTTTTTTTCGTAGTCGAGAAATCGAGTTTGCGTTAGCTCATCGCAGGCTCAGGGTGCAACGATTAAGCCAAAATGCCATCGATTCCCTCGGTGCCATGAGTTAGATAGTATAGTAATAAGCTCGTATATATGTACGTAATAGCCGACTGATGCCATGCTTGTGGTACATTTTTCGTTTATTAGCCTATACACTTGTACGCACGCGCACAATTCCGAACTGCAATGGCGGCTTTTCACAGAGTAATCAAACTATATTTTACACAGTTTGGTTGAATTTTCAAAGAATTGTGCCGGTTTCCTATGTATTTTACGTTGTGTCGTACTCTGGACTTTCTTGCGTGTTGAATTAATGTGTTTTTCTTTGTGTAATGACTCGAAAACCACAAAATATAATATTTTAATAGTACTCCACGAAATATAATCCGCACGAAAAGCTTTGTGGTAGCTATACTAAAGATAAAGCGTGCGTTCAAAATACCAACAAGAACTAGAACCATTATTGTATCATTTGTATGGTTCTCATTTGCTAGATTTGCCACAAGTCGACCTCGAAGAAACGCATTTCGTTCGAGGTCGACTTGTGGCAAGTCTACTCATTTACAATAACATTAGTTCGACGCGAATTTTAATACAAGTATGGTATCATATTTCATAATACAACAAACAATGTAAACTAGCCATACATTTTGCCGAACATAACTTCGGCCCCTTTGGACATATCTTTTTCGTGATAATGTTATTGGAACCAGAATCGAAAACACTATTTATAGTGTTATTTTCAAGCCTGTGTCTTGAGATTTTCATCTTTTATTTCGGTATTTACAGAATATTTATATTTTTAGCGCGGCCCATGGAACGCACATGAAAACAACGCGCTGTTTGGAAAAACCGGAAATCGATTCTGTAGGTCGGCATGATTTGCACGTGCATCGATCTCCATTACGTCTCCCGAAAAGGTCTTTTATTTTTTTAAAAATCAAAAATTGCTTGCGGTTTAAGATTTGCAAAAACATAAAATTTGCTTGCGGTTTAAGATTTGTATTCCTGCCTTTTGTACCATAGCAAGTATCTCGTTATTTTCAGGCCAGTGTGAACGCCTGAGTAGGCGTCTTGTTTCATCAAATTTTGCCAAGTTTTAAAACCGGAAGTGAAGCCTTACATTAAATTCAAAATGGAGGATAAAGCAATAGATTTTGAATTAAACAACGAAAATGAAAATATAACGACATCGGACTCTAAGTATACAGCATATATTGATAAATTCAACTCGATATGTTCAGGAAAAGCTGGAGTTTTTATAACCTCACTTTTATTGGCCGCTTTAATATGGACAGCGACTTTAACGATCACAAAAAGTGAGAATTTACCAGGAGGAAATTTATTTGGTTTATTTGTTGTTTTTGTGTGCTCGTTGTTGCTAGGTGCTTTGCTTTCTCGTTTGCCTTTCCTACAACTTCCAAACCTTTTGGGCATGCTGTTAGCCGGGCTTCTCCTTACAAATATTCAAGCGATCAACGTTGTACAAAATATACAACAAAGTTGGTCCGTTTCGTTGCGAAATATTGCTTTAGTCGTTATATTATTACGCTCTGGATTAGAACTCGATCCAGTTGCTTTAAAGAAACTTAAAAGAACTGTTATCACTCTCGCGTTCGGGCCTTGTATTATCGAAGCTTTAACCGTTGCTGTTGCTGCTAATTTGTTGCTGGAATTGCCATGGCTGTGGGGGTTGCAATTAGGGTGCGTATGCATACATTTTAATGTCTGCTTGTAGACGTGCATAAATTTTAATATGTTATGACAAGTTTGCTGACATTGGTCAATTTTTTTAACCAAAGTATTGCATGTGGTTAATTTGTGGTTTGTTGCCATAGTGACATAACCACACAGACCAATAAGTATACAGTTGCACAACTTAACTAAAACTAGAGGGCACTCAGAGACTGCAAACCTCCGCCCGCATTGAATTTCGGTCTGGTGAAATGCAACTAAGACAATAGATAATGAAGGCTGAAGCTTAATGAGGTTTATCATCTCATTGTCTTCTTAGTACTGCGTGCATACATTATACACATCCTAATTACGCATTCAGCGAGTTTTTTTTAATTGACCGGGAAAAGCAAGACAAAAGTTTGTTAATTTCTCGTTCAATTTGTAACCAAATTGAACCAAATTTTAACCAGTTCTTCCTTAGCCGATGGGAAATGCATTCAAGAAATTTCGTAAGAAAATGCTTGGTATTTCTTGAGTTATCATGCTCACAGACAAACACACACATACATACACACACACATACAAACCCAGATGATTACATAACCTCCTGGCGGAGGTAATAAGTGTACTGGATAGCTGATTCAGTTTTAAATGTTCTTCAATTAATAATTCATGAGCTTATTGGCAAACCATATCAACCATAATATGTCATATGCAGTGGCTTTAAACCTGATAAAACACTCCTAATTAGTATTCTTTATATAAAGAATACTAATAAGGCAGTATATCTATCAAATTTGTAGTCTTGTTTGAAGCCGTTTAATAAACGCTCAGGTCGTGTTTTATTAGGTCTAAAGCCACTTGCGCTTCCTAGAGGTCCAGTAAGAGCAGTTTATGTGTGTGTTATTGGTCCAGTGTTGTTACTACTGGGGGCAACTTAAACTACACTGTATGTTCCCCTACAGATCTAGTAAGAGCCATCCCTTATTGATCCAGTTTCACTTTAGAAACTAACTTTATTTACACTGGATAGCTCTATCGGGTTCATTCATCCCTTATTGTTCCAGTGTTTCTGCAGGAAGAAACAAGAATATCCAGAGAAATTTTGCAATGGTTGGTGGAATCAATCAGGAAGCACTCTTCTCACATGTAATGAAAGTGAAATCAATGATCAGACAACTCCATATCACACTTATCAATCTCTTGTTTTATAGTTGAAAAAAATACGTATTTATCACTGTGCCAGAACAGCACATTGCATATTAATATGTTAAGAGGGGAACATTGGTAGGTTAACCCATTCTTTACTCATTAGATTTGTCCTTGGTGCAGTTTCTCCAGCGATTGTTGTTCCTCAATTACTAAAACTTCAAGATCAAGGTTTTGGTGTTAACGAAGGCATACCCACCCTCGTTATGGCGGCATCCTCATGTGATGATGTTCTAGCTATAAGTCTTTTTACGGTCTTTCTTGGTGTTGCATTTTCCACAGGTATAAACACTGCAGCTTATTGACTGTCGCCAACCTAAGGTGGGTGCCAATTTCCTATATCATATTGCTGTGGCCCAATTCCTCAGAAATTCCCATAGTCCTATCAATAATGATGCACCTTGCCTCAGTCAATGGTTGCTCCCTTCTCCACTCAGAACTCCCTGCAGATAAAGTGAACGTCTTGGGAAAGTTGGCCTGACCCTGAGCTTTCTTTAGCCCCCTCCAACTGGCTTTGCTCTATATTTAATCATAAAGACTAAGGTAATACTTTTAGGTGATCTAATTTTCAACATCTTCCGAGGACCACTAGAAATACTTCTTGGCATTACTATTGGTTGTTTGTCAGGTTTTATTTTGAGCTTTATTCCAAGTAACCATGAGGTGAGATTCAGGAAATTGAGATTAGAAAATCTTCATTATAAGCTTGCATCAAGAGTGTTTTCATTGTGAACACGCGCGTTGACGGGCTGTTCATGTTTTGGTATTATTGACTGACAATTAGGTACTAGTCATATATAATATAACAATTGTGCTAATATATAATATAGCAATTGTACAATTGGACGCCAGTAGTTAATATGCATAGATTGTGTAAAATTGTATCTCAGTTATGTGACGTGTAATTTGTTGTTCTGCTAGTGTTAGATCACTTAGATGTATTTATGTTTATATTTATATATATTGTAGTTAGTTTCATGTGCACGACCACAACAGCTATGCTGTAAATTTACCATCGTGTTCAAATAAATGCTTTTATTATTATTATTGCTGTCTGCACTACATAATCTTACAGAAAACACGTCTGAAACGCGTTCTTGGTTTCATTTCCTTTCAATTACATTTCCTAGCATTTACAATGCTTTTCAATAATTTGCGTTCCAGGCGCGCGTGAAACAAAATTGGAGGACACTGACGCAGTGTTATTGCTGAGCAGTACTGTACAAAGATGGCCAGCCGCCTTCGTCTTCATCAATTGAATTCTTCTTCTAGACTCAATATTTACATGAGAAGAGATTCGTTATGCTACTATCTTTGGGAATCATGTTGTTATTTGGAAGTACCTGGATCAAGTTGTCTGGAGCTGGGGCGTTGGCTGTATTAACGACAGCATTTGTAGCTGCACATGGCTGGACCGACAAGGGGAAGGTATTGCTTGGCTTCAGTTTAATCGCATTCCAGGGCAGCAGATGGTGGGCAACTTTAGAAACTGTTACTCTTCTTCTCTTACCAGGTTTTTTTTCCAGGATTTTCTCTTGGGTCCGTTTTTGCAGAGAAGATTGAGTTTAGCTGAACAGCTGGGGTGGCTGCATCCCCCCCCCCCCCCCCCGGGGGGG